GCGCAGCTTCAACGGTGTTACGGCGCCCTTCTTGCACCTCTCCCGCCACGGCTCGTTAGCGCACAACGACCCGGGGTCGTATTTCGTTTTGATAGAGACACCACACTTCCCGCCAACCGACCGCAAAAACTGCGCCGCTAGGCTGTTTTGCGCCGTCTGCTCAAAGGCTTGGCGATCCGCAGCCGTGGCTGTGCGGTCACCGCCATGGCCCAGGAATCGGAGCTGCGGAAGACTCGTGGAGTTGCGTGCTCCTGCAGGTTCGGAAGCGGAGACGGTTTGAAAAAATGGTGTCGGTAGAGATATAAAAGTTAACAGGTGAATCACCGCTGTCTGTAGCAGCACGGAGGGCGCTCGGCCCATCGGATTTGTCGCAGTCATCTCTGATGATATCTGGTTTGCCAATGTAGAGGGGACACTAACCTTCTGCGAGGGTTGCTGGAAGGGTACTTTATTTTTGCTAACTTTCGGCAGCAAAGCAACGGAGATACCGGTGGCCCAATGAATGGTGCCATCGACTACGACAATCAAACGATAATAAGAAGATGCGCAGTGCTGACCGAGGATGCAGGGCAGCGTGCTCATGAAAGTCACCGATACATCTCAGAAATCACGAAGCACACCGAGTGCAGGTACTTAGTCACAAAACCGAATTTTCAAAAGAGAAGAAGTTACCAGAAACCGACAAAAAATATGTCACCGAAGACTGTAAAACTTCAACCTTCAGAGCGCTTGACCGATCACATTCACAGCGCATCAAGATTTTGTACTTATATTCGGTGGAATGCAGTACCGATGGAACGGTTAATATTACTCACGTAGACGTCATATCCACTGTTTTCCTGGAGATGCAGGACATAAACACACAGTCCTATGAAGAGCGGGCTCGGTCTTGGTGTACGTACTTCTGGCCTCGCAAGACGACGTACTTGAGAATTTCTTTCCACAACTTCCACTTTCACAATCTTTGTGTGCACGTTTCCATCATCCCGCTTCGCTTTTCTCGGTCCCGATCGAATTGACCGCTCACGTTCATCGTGATCATGTATGGTATAAATATTCCTTGCTGACAACGACAAAAGATCGCTCTTCCGTAGATTTTTCTTCTAGCAAGCCCATCTTCCAGAGGATTCTATCACCAAGAGTGGCGCTCTATCATGACAGAAATCACAAAGATGGGCTTACCCCCGTAATATCCACCTTTTGAAGGTAAATGCTAACTTGACAAAACAAAAGACCACCATGTCCTCCCGGCGTAATCTCCTAGGATATTCGTTTGTAATCGTAAAAAAAGTGTTCGCTATATTTTTCATCTCGTAATATCTTGATCTAGTACAATGGCGGTTTCCATCTTCTTCTAGGCTCCCGCTGCGAGAGGCTTTGCCGTGGAGGTTTTTTCCTTGTTCTTCTTTTTCTTCTTCTTTTCTGGCTCCTCTGCGGTTTCGGCCTCACCCTCCTTCTCTGCTTGTCTCTTGTTTGACGTAACCACGTCCGCGTCCTGGTTGTAACTGCTGGTGTCTGTTTTCTTGGCGGTTTGCGCACTCAGGTTTGCCGCGTTCTTCAAATGTTTCCTGGATGCATTGATGTCATCACCATCCTCGCAGGCACACACCTTACGCTCCACGTACTCCTTGAACGCTTTCGCTACTGTCGCCTCCGTGTCTTCACCCAGCGCGTCCACTCGGATCGCGAGGGCCATTTTCGCGGCCAACACGCGCGAGATTTTTCCCTTGAACTTCGATGCGGACTTCCCCACCAGGGACGCGTGGTAGATCAAACCTGCAGTGAGTGATGAAGTTCTATCATGTCGTTGGAAAAATCAAATGCGGTCGAAAGAACTTAACACGATACACAAACGACGTTCCGCGTAAGTTCTTTTTGTTTTTCATGATCGTCATTATCAACCTCCCAATGTCCTACAAACAGTTCTTGTAAACAGCTGGATACCGT